TTCTCTGTCCTACATCTAGGTCTGGATGTGATGGTGAAAGCTTAGCTACCTGTGGACCAGGAGGGCCATCTTACCAGAGATCAACAGCTGGAAGAGCCTGAGTGCCACCCCCCCCACCCCCCACACACAGTGCTGGACGGCCTTCTGGGCCTTGGTATCAGAAAGGGACCTGCCTGAGGCCCCATTATTCTAATCTCCTGTGGCTGCACTGCCCTACATGCTAATTACATGGGCAGGTTTGAGGCTGGCAAAGAGAAAGGACACGCTCCCCTCCAGTTCTCTGTGACAGGAGGTGAGCTCTGATAATGTGAGGTAGAGGTGGTAACGACCACATATGGGACACAAGGTACTCAAGTGAGCCTGGGGCTTCCGACAGCAAACCTTAGCTCAACTGGGCAAGGGCTGTAGCTGCTCTATATAACACAAGGGTCCACCTGAGTATGGACCTCGGTCTACATGCTCTGGCTGGGGACACAGTAGAGGCCCGCTCCCTGTCCTACTCAACCGGGAGCCACACAGTCCTGGCACTGCCTCCCAGCTTGGTCTGCCCTATAGCCTGGGTTCTCTAAACAGGGAGAGTGCCTCAGCCTGGGGGAAGCTGGCAGCTCAGAAAGACTTGGCCAAGGCCCTCCTCCAACACAAAAGCAGTGTCACTTGGATTGCTATAATTATCGGTAACTTCTGGGGTAATTATGTCTGTTTACAGTAGTGCCTCCAGGAATAGCAGGGAGTGGGCTGCAGGAGCTCCAAGCATGTTCCTCCAGGGTGGCTCTGCCTGGCAGAAAGGGTAGGAGGGGGTCTAGAGGAGGCCAGGTCAGTCCTCTCGTGGGCAGGAAAAGCTCCAGGAAGACCCAGGCTCTGGAAGAATACAAGCTACACTTGACAAGCACAGTAAGGAAAATCCAGCTGCAGCCTTGACAGGCCCCCAACAAGTTCTGTCAGCTAGGACCAGGCCTGCTTTGGGATTCAGCGACAAGCTCTCTGGGACGACCCTCCTGGCTCTTGCTGCAGGAAGCTCCCAAGCCGGTGATGGGTAAGACGGGCTGTGGACTCAGTGTAAAGACCACTGCCTGATGCTGTCCCCACCTCAGGCCTGTCAACCAGCCCATGAGCCTGTGGCTGGGTGTGAACCACTGCTGAAGGCCTAGGACCCAGGTCCCAGTCACCTCTCGGCAGCCCACTGTGATGACCTCTAGAAGCTGTCGCCAAACACATCTGCACCTAAGACCTCATCCCCTCACTCACAAGAGCCGGGGCCTGCAGCACCACCCACCAAGGATGTGTTCCTTGCTGCACCCTCGGGCCAGATGGCTCCAGATGACCTCTCCCAGCTGCGCTCATCACACTGTCCCATCTGCAGCCCATGCTGCTATACCCTTGAACTCACCATCCAAGCCACTGCTGTAGGACCCCCAGGGAGGAGGCTCCCCACCAGGCCCAGAGCCTGCTTGCCTGAAATGGGCTCTAAATTTCTAAGCCTCTGTCTCATCCCCATCCCAGCAAGACTCTCAGGCCTGGGCCCATATCTCTGTCTTTGATTCCATACAAACAAAAACCTTTGGCCAGAGAGTGAGCTCCCGGGCATGCGGAAGGCACAGGCCTCATCCTAAGGGTCGGCCTGAGAGACAGCTTAGCTCGGTGAGCTGTGCGCTTGCTCACAGAGAGGTGCAGGTGAGCCACGTGACCACCCTCCTCTCAGCCACGGGGGCAAGTAAGAGAGCAAAAGCAGGGTCTGAGGGACAAGCTGGTGTTTAAGGAGCCATGCAGGAACCCCCTAGGGCCCCAATGCCCTAAGAGGACAGGGAACAGACGGCCAGCCTGAGGGGGAATGGCCCCAGGCCCCAAGGCTTTGTATGCCAGCCAGCCAGAGGGACTGGGGAAGGCCCAGGGAGAAAACTCTGTGCCCCACTGAGGTGGGGTCACCCCATTCAATATCACACGGGCCAAGGCGGTTCCTTTGCCAACCAGATCCAGAAGCTGACCTCTGCTCTCAGGCTCCTCCACGTCCCTGTGGGACCTTGCTCTGGGCAACCCAGACTCCATTGCAGCAGTGGGAACACCAACTGAACCCAAGCTCTCCCATCCCGTGGCTCAGCACCCCAACACAACTCCCCACCGGACCCAGACAAGCCTAATTCCAGAGCCAGGCAAACAGGCACACAGGAGTGTGTGTGTGTGTGTGTGTGTGTGTGTGTGTGTGTGTACACACACGCATGTGTGCAAGCTCCCTGTAGCTGACCTTCTGCCTGGCACTGCTACGCTCTTTCTAGTGCACACAGCACTCACGCGTGCTCCTCTGCCACGCTGCACCCGCTCCCCAGACACAGGTCCAACCTTCACACACACACACACACACACACACACACACACACCATCTGGCCACCGCCCAGATTTTTAACCCCTAAATACGTGCCAACAGGCTCTATAACCTAACCCAGTTACCTGGGCCCCAGCCCTGCAGTGGGAGCAGCAGCCAACACAGCTGCTGTCCCCAGGTGACCCATTGGGCCATGCAGCAGCTGAGTCGCTGCAGGTGTCATCCCAGCATCCTCATCTCTTTCTAGCACATAGGCTGGGCTGGACCGAGTGACTCACCCAAGACCACACGGCCAGCCGGGGGCCAGATTCAGACCCAGCCTTCATCTGTCTCCCTCTGGACTCCCATGTTACCAGCTCTGAAATGGCCCCTTGATGGCAGCTTCCCAATCCCCTGAACCCTCACTCCTAATCCACTGTTCGAGGCCATCTTCCTCCACCAGCTAGGCCTTCTTACACAGGACAGTATTCTCAGGAGCTGTTCTCTTGTGACATACTATCTGATGAGTGCCAGGCGCCCAGGGAGTGAAGCCTCTAGATCCTTACAGGACCACCAGGCCTAGCACCCCGCTCCTCCCTTGAACATGGCCAGTCTCTCAGGACTGGAGTGTCATTCTCATGTGGCCAGGCCTCAGATGCTTGCCAGATCTAGCACCTCTGGCCATGGACATGAAAGTCAAGCTTGAGTGCTGGAAGTTAGGAGCCTGAGAGGCAGAGCCTCGTGATGCTGGCCCAAGCTGCGTCTTCTTAGTGTGTCTGCGCATTCCTATAGATCTCTGCTATGACTGGCTATGGTGTATGCCCATCCCTCAAAAGTGTGTGTGACTGGAAGCTTGGTCTCCAGGGTGGGGGTACAGATAGGTAGTGGAACCTCTTGGAGGTGGAGCCTGTTGAGAGGTCCTGAAGTCACTGGGCTATGGGGCAGTTCTCATAGAGGGCTGTGATAATGGGGCACACCTGGCCTACCCATCCTCTCTGCTCCTGGTTCAAGATGTAATTATCAGCAGGCATGGTGGCGCACATCTGTAAATCCCGGCACTCAGGAGTCTGAGGCAGGAGGATCATTGCAAGTTCAAGACCAGCCTGAGCTACAAAGTGAGCTCTATCTAGGCCAGCCTGAACTGCATAGTGAGACCTGTCTCAAAGAGACAACAAAACAAACCTAATTATCTGTTTCTTCCTGCATGCTGCCACCATTGCTAAGGTGAAACAGACAAGGGATAAAGGGATGGCTTTTGCTGGAGCCTGTGCTATAATGTTTAGATTTTTTTCAGCCTCCAAACTTGTGTGGTAAAGAAACCTCTTTTCTTTATACAGGTAGCCTATCTCAGGTAATTAATGGGCACAAAAAGCCAGCTGATGCAGTTGCACCTTAAGATGGGCAGGGTCGTCGTGCTCACTAGAGCAGCGAGAGGAAGAACACGAGTCGGCCGCCTAGGCTCGAGGTGCAGCCCTAACAAGGCGCTCCCCTTTCCCATGGTGACGCCCTTGCAGACAGGCTTCCCTGCTCCCTGAGGGGGAAACTGGGTGGAGCTCCTAGGCCTGGGCAAACCATTTTCCCTTAAAATGAAACAAGAGCTCTTGGCAAGGAAACCGGGTTCCCAGGAATAATGCCAGGAGGTTACTGTTGACATGAACTCCCCAGAGCCCTGCTCATATATGTACACACCTTGAAAGGGCAGTCTGGACTTCTCTGGAGCTGCCCTGCTTAGGGCACAGGCGGGAGAGAAGTCCTTGGGGATCAGAGCCTGCACCTGGGACAGGTCCCGCAGCTAAGAGGGAGGCTGCTTCCACAAGACCACAGCACATGCCACAAGACCCAGCAGCCAGTTACTATGGTGGTGAGTATAGTGGCTTGTATCTAGTGTCCCCCCGAGCCTGTGTTCATAGCTGGGAGGTGACCGGACGATGGTTGTGAGATGCTGGATCTAGGGTGTATGATACCGGGATTAAGGCTGTAGGGTACTAAATTAGTGCACTGACTGGAACTGCATAGTTCTGAATGGGTTTATTGGAAACAGAAGTTTCAGCCTGGGTGTGGACAGCAGCACCCAAAAGGTTTGTAGCCTGTCTGGGAAGAAAAGGGACAGCAGGCTCACTTCTGCAGCTGCATCTTGCCTGCTGTGCCATGCACGGCTTCTCCTCTCATGTCCCCCTGCCATGGCACCCTGCCTTGGAGCCAGCTGAACAGGGACTAAATCCTCTACGGCTGTGAGCTAAAATAAACCTTTCCTCCTTCAACCTGTGTGTGCCGGGTCTTTTGTCCCAGCAATGAGGTACAACCAAGACACTGGTTTGGGTGAAATGACCCTAATTTTTATTTGTCTCCTTTGCCTGATTACCTAAGTCTATTTGCAAGCCTGCCACCTTCCTACTCCTTAGATTCCCGCTCCCTGACCCCATGTCATCAGGACACTGTATGACCAACAGAAAACAAACCAAATCTTCTCTGTGGTCAGAGCCACTCTCCCAAGGGTCACGCTGAGGCTTGTATTTCCTAACTCTGTGGTCATAGAGGAGAATGGAGGGCCACCTTGACTGCTCCTGATGAAACCCAAGCACCTTCACGCCAAGTGCCACACAGACAAGTCCCCACACCCCACCACACCCCACCACACACCATGACCTCCTGTGACTGCAGGGGTGGGCTGCCTGCCACAGACGCTGAGCATGCACATCCCTACCTTTCATGTACGCCTCAATCTTCCGGATGAGCTCATAGGACTTGGAGCGGTCCAGTAGTGTTCTGATGGCGGGGAGAGGGTCCAGGACGATGGTCTCGGGATGTGCGTCGATGTACTCCTGAGAGGAAAGCACAGTGCTGGTCAGAGAGGAGCTGGGGTTGACATGGAAGGGGAGGAGGGGGAGGAGGTGAGTGGAAGGGGGAAGGGGAGGGGAAGGGAAGAGGCGAAATTGTGTCCCTCAAGTCCTCCATACATTTACCCCTGCCTGGGACCTTGGTTAGACCAATCACAGCATCCCCAGGCTGCTGGCTTAGGAGAGGGAACATGACCTTGAGTCCATCCAAACACCACCAGGCTCAGGCCTCTTGCTAGGAATCCTGGGAGGAGAATACTCTCAGCCTCCTAGAAGAAGCATGCACACTGGCAGCTGTGAGCAGTCCCCACTGGAACTCAAGGGAAGGCCTAACTGAGGGGTGAGCTCAGAAAACAGCCAAGAACAGAACATCCAGGTTCTAGTCAGGTTGCTTGGCCCCTGGATACAGCCTCAGCTGACCCAGGATTTGCTCCATGTCCTGATTGCCTCTGTGACTCTGTCAGTGTGCCCACCCAGCACCCTGTGCTGAGGAGTCTAAGTTGGGGGTGGGGGGGAGACTGTGAGAACCTGTGGGGAGGTGATGGAGAAAAGAAAGCAACACCCTGGGCCGTCCCGTCGATATCCACCCGCTTCACAGTAGGCACAATGGAAATACAGGACAAAGTCTGACAAAAGTCCACCTTAAGGGAATTTAGCACCTTACAGAGCCACATGAAAATACATACATTTCTGTTGCTTTAAGCCACCCGAGAGGTGGTTGTGACAGTCCTGGACAACACATATGCCAGCTTGCTCCATCCCCCGCCACCCAAGGCACCCTCACCGCCGTGGGGCCCACACGCCAGCTGGGGCAAAGGACAGGCGAAAAGCCCTCATAGTGCTCTTTTCTTTATCAACAAAAACACAGACCTCTTGGCGACACTTTTTCGGGGAACTTCTTTTGATCTTAGGCATCATTTCAGGAGCACTTGGCGAGGGCCAGAGATTCAGACCCACATCTTGGGTGGCATCTGTCTCTGCTGCACCCGACACAACGGCACTTGCTTGGGAGCTTTTCCGTCTTCTCTGGGTGCCCAGCAACTTCCCCCGGTTCTAGGTGGTGCCAGTGTACACCTGGGGAGGCCTTGCACTGGTCCCCACTCTGACCAGTTCTCTGGGACTCACCTGCTGCCACCCTTAGAGGTCTCCCTCACTGCAGACTGCACGCTGCACACATGCCTCAGGTCTCCCTCACTGCACCCTGCACACTGCACACATGCCTCGCACGTGCCTCGGGTCTCCCTCATTGCACGCTACACACTGCGTGTGTGCCTCAGGTCTCCCTCACTGCACGCTACACACTGTATGTGTGCCTCAGGTCTCCCTTACTGTACAATACACACTGCGTGTGTGCCTCAGGCCTCCTTCACTGCACACTGCACACGGGCCTCGGTCTCCCTCACTGCACACTGCACACGGGCCTCGG